TTTAGGATTTAGGGGTGTAGGGTTAAGCATTTGCAAAGGGTTTAGGGCTGAAGGCTGCTATTAAGGTGTTAAGCTGTGCAGCTTGGGGTGTCTTTTGGAAAGGGCTCAGGGCGACGTGTGTAAGACAGTGGGACTGTGGCAGCCCGGGCTAATTTTGGAATATACATCAACTTACGATAGTATACTATACTCTACGCACTCTAATAACCCTAAACCCTAAACCCTGCCCTATAATATACTACGGCACACTACATCTGACCACACATTTCTATAGGATCCAGGTATTACGGCGCGTTCCGGGTTGAGGACTTGCGGGCTTCCAAATGCGCACCCCAAACCCAAAGCTGTTCTGCGAGCCTGGAGGGGTTTGAGGGGTTTAGGGTTTAGGGTTTGAGGGGTTTGAGGGGTTTAGGGTTTAGGGTTGGGTGCATCAGAAGGTGGGATGAAAGTCGGTAGGATTCAGGATCCCTCAGGGTCCCTCTTTCGGTCCCCAAGATAGTACGGCACCCTTATAAACAAGGACCCTACTTTAGACACCTTGTAGTACCCTTATCGAAACATGTGTAGAGACCCCTTATTAGGAGCCCTTGTAAGAAGGGACCCGATTACCCCTAACGTAGAAGTCTTTGTAATGAGAGAACAGGGTTTTGGGGTATATTCTACTAAACTCATAATAAGGACCCCCCCCCAAAAAAAAAATAGTATGGTATAGGTAATTATCAAAGCCCCTATATTGGAGTGCCCCAAAATAGTAATATATAATTATGAAGGGCCCTACCTTCATCCCAGCTCTGGAGTCCCGTGAAGGGATGCGTGCCAAGAGTTCGACCCAGGCGCCTCTCCACTCAGCGACTTCACCTTCGTGACCTGAGGTGTTGGGGTTTGGGGTTGAGCGCCCTTGTTAGGGTTTATGGGTTTGGGGTTTAGGGTTTAGGGTTTAGGGCAGAGCTGGGCGCATCGGAGCTCTGAATGCACGGATTTTCGGGGCTGTTTAGTTGTCTCCGGAAATTCAAGCTTGCAGGCTAGAATAAGTAAGTTAGAAACAAGGGAACCCCTGTTCATGAGGACCATCCTCGACTTAGGTAGTTGCTGACAGTGGTTGCGGACCAAGAAGAAATCTGCGGCTGAACACAACTTTGCCCATGTATCCACCTTTGACGTAATCTCTTCCTCGAGGTAGCATGAAGCACAAACAGAAGGTATCCTCCTCCTCCTCCTCCTCCTACCACTACTACTACTACTACTACTACTACTACTACTACTGCTACTACTACTACTACGACTACTTCTACTACTTCTACTGCTGCTTCTACTGTTACCGCAAACTCCTACTCCTACTCAGACTGCTGCTTCTGCTGCTGCTATACTGCTACACCGCTACAGCTACTGCGACGACGATACCGCTGACGACGACGCTGCTGTTGTTATGCTCGACTTGTATTGCGGCGTATCCGCGTCTGCCATATCATCAGTTACTACAGTAGCAAAGATGACTACTGGCTATTGTCATGCTCACGTCCTGCTGCATACTTCATGTATTCCCAGAACCATCTTCTTGCATGTCTTAAGTTTAGCAGGAGCAAGACCCCCACTTATCCCGAGCCCACCTTCGCAGTGACTTCGCCAACGCTGCCATCTGGCAGAGTGACCTTCGCCAGATATCATGTCTCCGCAGTCTCTAGAATTTAGGGTTCATTGTAGGGCTTAGTAGTTGAGGGTTCACGGTATACTCGGAGGTTCATGGGTAGTAATAAGTGGGGTTATAAGTGTCTTTCAATATGGGTTATGACTATAGCTGTCCTACTTAATTATAGCCCTACTTACAACTAACCATGAACCTCCAAGTACTGGTACTGAGCACTGTCTGGCTTTGAGCGCAGGTAGCCCTCAAAGGCCATATGCCCAGAACCCTAAACCCTAAACCATATAAAACCTAATCTCTAAACCCTATAATCTCTAAACCCTAAACCCAAAAACCCAAAACCTAATCTCTAAACCCTAAAACCTAATCTCTAAAACCTAAACCCCAATCTCTAAACCCTAAACCCTAAAACCTAATCTTTAAACCCGAAACCCCAATCTGTAAACCCTACACCCTAAAACCTAATCTTTAAACCCTGCACCCCAATCTCTAAACCCTAAACCCCAAAACCTAATCTCTAAACACTAAACTCCAATCTCTAAACCCTAAACCCTAAAACCTAATCTCCAAACCCTAAACCCTAAAACCAAACCTCTAAACCCTAAACCCTAAACCCTAAACCCTAAACCCAAACCTCTAAACCCTAAACCCTAATCTCTGAACCCTAAACCCCAAAACCATTTTTTGAAAAACCCTAAACCCTAATCACTAAACCCTAAACCCTAGACGACGCGTCACGCCGGTTCTGAGCACCGCGCGTTGGAGCCCGAGACCAAGGCCTCGCTGAGCCTGCACCAGCAGGCGGTTGAGGGTTGTAGGCTTTAGGGTTTAGG